GCCCCAACAACAACAACTGCTACAACAATTGCCCCAACAACAACAAATGCTACGACAACTACTGCTGCACTCACAACAAGGCGGGTGACTTTCAGGTCTCTTCTAAACACATTTACAAGTGACTTGTTGGATACATCATCTGCTGTTTTCACAAACCGAGCCTCCATGATAAAGGGACAGGTAAGTCTCACCCCTAAAATAAGACCTATGGGTACACTTTATTATTTCATTGTATCATTTTATAATATATTTATCAGAGAAACCACTCATAGAATCAAAATAGTATCATTAAACAGTTTAATAAAATGTCATTTTGTTACAAGCAAATGTGTTTTCTATTTCTCTGCAGCTTGAACCTTTGTACCAAAGGGAATTCCCCTCTTCCTTCAATTCTTTGGACGTGGTGGCATTCAGGTAATTTGTTAATACATAACATACAGTTTATGAATAGTGGTCTAAATCTGATATTTCATACAAAAGGCCTATTTTTTTTTTTTGCTCCTGCAGAAATGGATCAATCATTAACGAAGTGATTCTTCGCTTCGGAAGCACATCTGTTCCTAGTAATACTCAGATCTCGAGTGTTTTGATGAGTGCAGCTTCAACTGTCACTGGCTTTGACATCGAAGGCAGCTCCATTACCGTGGATGGCATATGTAAGAAATATTGAGTGTTACTTGATTTTTAAAAAACTTCAAGAGCTACATAATTAATAATTAAAATAATGTTTTGAATTTTTGATAATAACACCTTCTCCAACAATGACAGCTGCTGCTATAACAACTGCTACAACAACTGCCACAACAACAACTGTCCCAACAACTGTCCTAACAAAAACGACTGCCCCATCAACAACTGCTACAACAACTACAACTGCTACAACAACTGCCCCAACAACTACAACTGCTACAACAACTGCCCCAACAACAACAAGTTCTCCAACAACAACTGCTACAACAACTGCTCCAACAACTACAAATGCTACAACAACTGTCCCAACAACAAGTGCTCCAACAACAACTGCTACAACAACTGTTGCAACAACTTTCCCAACAACAACAACTGCTACAATATGTAAGAAATATTAAGTGTTACTTGATTTTTTAAAAACTTCAAGAGCTAAATAATTTTTCATCAAAATAATGTTTTGATTTTTTGATAATAACCCCTTCTCCAACAATGACAGCTGCTGTGACAACAACTGCAATAACAACAACACCTTCTATTACAACAGCAACTGCAACAACTATGTCACCTACTCCAACATCCACCACTGGGGCAACAACCACCCTGGCTCCTGAACCTACTTACACTATCTCAGCAGATTTGCCACTGGAGCCATTTTCAGGTGATCTCACTAACAGAAACAGCAGCCGATTCAAAGATCTTGAACAACGAGTTGTAGGGGCGGTAAGTACAATTCTTGAATACATTTTTCATTGCTTGTGTGAGCGTTGCATATGAATGATATGACAATCGTTTAGATCAAAGACAAATCTGATGAGGTGTAATCTAATTTCAGCAAAATTTGCACCTCTATTTAAATTCATATTATGAAAATTGTGCTTAAGAGCTACCCATGGTCTAAATTTTGCTTTCTTTTCGCAGTGTAATAGCATATACAGAACAACATTTGGTGCTCGGTTTGATCGGTGCTTTGTGAAACAGTTCAGGTAAACAGGGGTTCACTAATTTCTCTTCACATGCGGAATTTGGCACTTACACTGTTGATTGTATCATGTGTAAATCACAAATGTAGGTAAAGTATCATAATCGTTTCAAGTTGTTATTTGACACTTCTCTCATTTGGTTTCATGGTATAGGCCTGCGTCCTCAGGGCTACCACGAGTGAATGGAACCGAAGCAGAAATGGGGGTCGTGTTCAATCGGACTACTCCCACTGCAGATCTGCCACAGAATACTGTCGTTGTTCAAACCTTAGTAGAAGCGGTTAATGCTTCCACCAATATGTTCAACTTGACCATAAATCCAAATACAGTTGAAGTATTAAGTAAGTTAACACAACACAAAGTGTCATTCTCATCAGTACTTAAATGAGTCAGCAACAAAATTATGTTTTTATACAAGAAATGAAGGTATAGGAGACATTTATTAAGGCAACTTTAACATTTCAGTGTTGTACAGTTCAATCCATTCATTCAATACTTCCATGTGTCCCAGGATTATATATTATCTCTGCTACCATGTATTCAGCTGGAATGTCTGTAATGTAAATTTGTTTGACTTCAGCAACTTCAGAACTAGATAAAATGCAAAAAACTAATACTTATTTACTCAGTCTCTAAAAAAATGTTTTACAGCAAGTCCAGTTGTAAATGCAACTACAACTGCCAACTCTACAACTGCTGCACCTACAACCTCCAATCCTTCAACTGTTGCACCTACAACCTCCAATCCTTCAACTGCTGCACCTACAACCTCCAATCCTTCAACTGATGCACCTACAACCTCCAATCCTTCAACTGCTGCACCTACAACTGCTGCACTCACAACAAGGCGGGTGACTTTCAGGTCTCTTCTAAACACGTTTACGAGTGACTTGCTGGATACATCATCTGCTGCTTTTACAAACCGAGCCTCCATGATAAAGGGACAGGTAAGTCTCACCCCTAAAATAAAATCTGTGGGTATACTTTATTGAATCATTGTATTATTTTGTGTAATATATTTATCACAGAAACCACTCATAGAATCAGAATAGTATCATTAAACACAAGTGTAATAAAATGTCATTATGTTACAAGCAAATGTGTTTCCTTTTTCTCTGCAGCTTGAACCTTTGTACCAAAGGGAATTCCCCTCTTCCTTCAATTCTTTGGACGTGGTGGCATTCAGGTAATTTTTTTACACATAACATAAAATTTAAGAATTGTGACCTGATGTGAATCTGATATTTCATACAGTACTTTTTTTACTCCTGCAGAAATGGATCAATCATTAACGAAGTGATTCTTCGCTTCAGAAGCACATCTGTTCCTAATAACACTCAGATTGCGAGTGTTTTGATCAGTGCAGCTTCAACTGTCACTGGCTTCGACATCGAAGGCAGCTCCATCACCGTGGATGGCATATGTAAGAAATATTGAGTGCTACTTGATTTATTAAAGAAAATTAAAAAGCTAAATAATTATTTATTAAACCAATGTTTTGATTTATTTTCTCCTCACTTACAGCTTCAAGTGGAGTAAGCCACAAGATCAGTCTAATCACTGCATCCTGCCTGGTGCTGTTTTCATGGCTACTGTCAAGCCAGCAATAACTGATTTCCCTTTGAAGTGCCATTAGAACATGACTGCCATCTCTGGTATAAAAAAGGACTTCAGCTTTGCACTGATCAGACAAATTAAGGACTGTGGATTAGACATGTCTGTCGAACTGAACACATTTCTGTGTGGGAAGGTCCGGGATCCTGGACAGGATGACACAGCCAACTCTAAATTTCTGGTCCATTGAATCATCACTGGAATTATAAGCTCAACAATATAAGGACACTATCAATTAAACACTGGGATGTCAGGCAATATTTTCACTGTTGCACTATCAATGTACAAGTGTATCTTGCTGCACTGAGCACTGTGCTATAGCAATATTTAACTTAGTGACAATTACTAATGCTGTCTTATGTAAACCTTACTGTGGTCTTAAAATGCATGTATGATTAATGTTTAGGTTTGTGTCTTAAATTAAATGAAGGAACACATGCAGGACCATGGTGTACATGATATATATGTCAAAACTCTCATCTTATTTAAATAAAAAATGTATTTATGTAATCATGCAGAACTGTATTCTGTGACAATTCTTGTAGTTTTTACAATTTCTGTCAGAAACTTTACAATGATCAGAATACAAAATCTTTGAAGGATTTCAATTGTCTGTAGTGTTATGTTTTGCAATGTTGGTGGGTAAAGAGAAAGTGGATCATACTTAAACATACAGTACGTGGAAATATACTCTATGTTTAAGGTCAGGAGCTCTAATGAAAGCAGCAGTGATGTTTACAGAAAATCAAACCCTGCCATGTGACTTTCTGCAATTTAATATTGTCATGTGTCCAGACAGTCTCTGCCTTTGTTGTACCAGTGAATAAGGTTATCTTTAAGAAAGAAGTAGGATAATCAACATAGGATTCGGATACGTAATGTGACTTAAAGTATGTTAAAGAAAACAAAGGTAACAACTTTATACTTAAAAGAAGACTAGATATAAACCCAAATTCTGTCCCCTTCAAGGATTAAAATAATTCAGTAGAGGTAGAGATGTATAGACCAGAGGGGGATAAACTCCCGGTGCCTGTCATAAAATATGCATGCCAATTAAGCTTAATGTACATTTCTACCACTTTAATAACTTAAACATCTTAAACATGACATAATAGAAAATGTTCACACTGGATTTTGAAAGATTCAAGGCCAATGGGAAAAGTCCAACATTCAGCTGACCAATGATGACACTTCATCAGTCACTCATTCACTCAGTCAATTACAACATTTATTACTACACACTACTAACAAAGACTGACACAACAACAACACAATAAACTGACTATACATAGAATGATACTACAATGAAGGAATGGATGAATGTAATACCAGAGTTTGACAGGGCAAATATGCAAATATGGTGAACAAATCAAAATAATGCTACCTTGTTGATTTTATATATACTAAATTCAGTGTAACAAGCATCAGCATCAACAACTATCAGAGTTAATTTTCCATGATGGTTTTCGTGGTTAAGACACACCTTAATAGACTGTTATTGTGTAATGAGGCTACCGCAGCAACAATAATGTTTAGTATGATTCTTCTGACTTTCAATTCATTGATTAAATTCAAAGTTTTCACTCTCTTGAAACAAGGGTAGTTTATTAACTGGGTTCCAACCCATCCAACGGTGCAGGTTGTGGTTGGCAGCATTAAGTATTCCGTGATACACACATCTGATGAAATGACTGAAACAGCTCATCATGGCTGTATCTTATGACTTTACCCACTAAAGCTGCGCTATGGTAATGGACTGTATTACCCTTTCACACTTTGCAAATTCATGCATTAAAGCAATTCAGTTGCTCAGATCACAACTGAAGATGGTATGTCACAAGTGGAAATGGGGCCTTTTATTGTTTCATTAGTTTTTATAGGTATTTGGTCAGAAACTACAGGAGTGGACAGATTAAGCTTTTGACCTGATAATAGCACTAGATAAAAAGTCAGAGGATCATCAAAATTATCATAATTAATTTTCTAGAGGGCACGAATAACTTCACCAAATTTCATGGTGGCCCATCCAAATTCTGTTGAGACATTTCACTCAACACAAAAAGTGTCATGATGGCACTAGAGGAAAAGTCAGAGGGTGACCCAAATTATTTGGTTTCATCCTCTCGGGACCATGAATGTCATGCCAATCCATCCAGTAATGATTAGATATTTCAATCTAGACCAAAGTGCTCGACCAACATTGCAATCCCCAGAAACATATGAAAAACCGTAGCTCTTAGGTCATATTTTGCTTTTGAGTTTTCTGAGTTAACTATCAAACTGCATGCCAAAATGTCCCCAGGTGTTTAACCTGGATGAGTTCGGGCTGAGGTTGGATTATTTTCAAATGTAAATAATTATAAACTAATAATTACTTGCCTTTATTTCACAGAGTGTTAGCTAAATACCAGTGTGCTCACAATGGCAAAGTTTTTTCCTCGAAGATCCAAAGACAGGGAATATTCAATCAGCTGTTTTTGTGTGTACTGGGATTTGATACAGCTATTTTGAACATAGTTGTATGGGTCACTGATCAAGTTTCAACTATCACTACTGCACTTGCACCCTACTCACATAGTTTTTGAAGCTGTGAGGAACTTGCAAGCGCCAAGTATCCAGTTCTGTGGAAATGGAGTCCTGCCACTGCTAGACTTTGGATTTAGACACCCTTCACCAGGCTAACATTTGTTACAGACATCCAAAATGGATAAATGAAAAACTTGTTGCCCAGTCAGTACTCTTGCCATTTTTGTGACCAAAGCATTTCCAGCTTTGCATGCTAAAAAAGGGAGGTTGTCAACCAAGAGGTCAGGTGCTGAAAGGCCAAGTCACCAACTACAGCAAATAATACAATACTACCAATACTACATACAGCTACTGTGACCACACCTGCTGCACCTGCAAACACAACTACTGCAACTACTGCACTTCCAGTTACAGCTGCTGCCACTGCTGCAACATTGGCCTCTGTAACAACAGTTGATACTACTGTACAACTCATGAAACAGGGATATTTAGAGCAATAAAATTAAAGCATCTCCTTTTAAAGTGAAATGTGGTAACAGAAATGTCCAATGTCTCGATTTATCAGAGGGAAATTATCTCCTACTACACACTGGACTGACAGGTTATTGCATTAAACTTATTGCAAACAAATGTCACAGTATGTTGCAATAGACATTCACCTCACATTTAAACCTTTTGCCATGATGGGAATTTAAAATCCAAAAACTGTAACTTGGAGTTCGGAGCTAAAGATTTGTGAGTTGGAGCTTGCCATTACCTGAACTTGTAAGGTCAAGTTTCTAGGCTCTGCTCTGTTTTCCACTGTGTTTACAAACCAGAACATTTTTGATATAAAAATTTAGAGCTGCCTCATTGTCTCTTAAGTTGTTTTGGTTTTGTCACTACATATTAATTATCTTCAGGGATAATTTGAAAGGAAAAAGCAAGGATCACAAAAAAGGTATTTAAATGGTTTAAATAGACATTTGATAATTAACTCTTCGTAAACAATTCAAACCAGATCTTGAAATTGAATTTCACATCAATGCTCAAGTTTAACCTGCTCCAATCTAAGTGAATAAATAGGGGATATTTAAATATATTTGCATGACATACAAATCACTGGACTTGTATAAAAGAGAAAATTAATTACTCAGCTCACTTGTGAAACAAATGTTCACAATGCCGCAGTAAAAGCACATGTAGTTTAAGTGTCCTTATTTCAACAATATATTGCAATTACTGACTTTAGAAATTCAGTTTTTTCCATATTATGACTTCATACTGGATCATACTGATGTCATGGCTTGGCACTACCCAAGATAAATATGAGGAAATGAAATGAATGAATTTGTGTTGTTAACACTTTAACTGTATTGCATCATATGTATATAAAAGTTGTAAAATTAAGTTATAACATATAAATAATTGGATGATATATATCTAGTACATCTAATTATTTATATGTTATAACTTACTGTCAGACTGGTAGAGCTTCTGTCAACATTGACATTGATGGAATTCAACATTATATTGTCCTCTTTCATTGTAAGAGAGAAGGGAGTGTACCATGGTACTGTGCCAAGTGTCTCACAGACTGAGAGCTGATCTTCAGTACACTGTGATTTCGTTTTTTCATCAGTAAGGTTCCACAACATTCAAAAAACATATCAACAATGAGTCACGTCATTAGCTTTTGTTCCATTCCAGTATATAAAGGTCTAACAGCACTGTCACAGAAGGTGAAAGGCATTCAGCATTACATATGTGAACTGGGCTGAATTTAAAAAAAAAAAAAACACTGAAGAAGGGGGAATTAATAACTTTTCATCTTATATCTTTTAATTTAGGGTAAGTAAGCTTTTAGATTTATGTGTACACTTTTGTGCATTTATAACATTAGATAAATGCACATACAGTTTAATGTACCCATTAAAAGTGTGTGTGTGTGTGTGTTGTGTTGTGTGTGTGTGTGTGTGTGTGTGTGTGTGTGTGTGTGTGTGTGTGTGTGCGTGTGTGTTGAGTTATTTATCATACCAACACATTTTATTAATGTCCTCTGTTGCAAAAATGTACATGGATTTCTATTTTATTATAAATTGTGTCGCTTAGCAAAACTGAAAAAAAACAAGTGATTGAAACACTTGAGAATTTACTTGTCATAAACCATTCAAACCAGATCTTAAAATTTAATCTCACATCTATTACCTCATATTTAAAGTGATAATTGATAATCACTAAAATGATCAACCTCTGTTGTAATGTGTTGTGAAATCGTGCTTCAACTTTGGTATTTTTCCCCTATAAGGCTCTATGTACATTTTTATTATTATATTTGTATTATTAAAGATGATGATGAAGGCAAGTGGCTACATTCATTTTTGAAAAATAAGAATGTGGTTGGGGTGTTTTTTGTAGGGGTCTCTTTTTGTTTTTCACAAAATGAGCACCAACTCTTTTTACATGTTGTGTCTGTGAGTAAGTCTCTGATGTGTTTGATTTTATAGCTTCATCATGGGCGCCAGACGGATCATCTCAGTTTTCATGATTTTAACAGGTAAGCTGAATGGTGTTAAACTGTTTGTCTTTAAAGTGTTTTAAAACTATATAATAGGAAATGTGTAGGAAACAACCATGGTGTTAAGGTGGAGATCTTGGCTGCACATCATTATTTTATTACAAGGACACACTGCAATACCATGCATACCAGCCATACCATGAACAATAATAATCAAACACAACTACAAACAGCACGCTGTGTTTTAATTGTCCTTTTTCATATTTTAGTAGTTTTACTGAGTTTGGTTGCAGAAAAATAACGCATACTAAAGTTACACCAGTGACTTATCTGTTAAACTACTATTAAAATTTTGTATTTGAACTTACATACAGTTTAATGTACCCTATGAAGAAATGGAAAGTAAAAAACTGAAATTATTTAAAGTATATTCTGACTTGATCATTGTTTTCAAAAGTGGCTATGGATTTGGCTACTGTACAAACAACAACTACTCCAACGACTACAACTGCTACAACTGCCCCAACAACAACTACAACTGCCCCAACAACAACAGCTGCTACAACAACTGCCCCAACAACAACAACTCCACCAACAACTCCTCCAAAAACAACAACTGCCCCAACAACAACTGGTCAAACAACAACAACAACAACTGCCCCAACAACTACAACTGCTACAACAACTGCAACAACTACAACTGCTACAACAACTGCCCCAACAACAACAACTGCTACAACAACAACTGCCTCAACAACTGCCCCAACAACAACTGCTATAACTGCCCTAACAACAACAACTACTACAACAACTGCCCCAACAACAACAACTGCTACAACAACTGCCCCAACAACAACAACTGCTACAACAACAACCGCCTCAACAACTGCCCCAACAACAACAACTGCTACAACAACAACCGCCTCAACAACTGCCCCAACAACAACAACTGCTACAACAACAACTGCCTCAACAACTGCTCCAACAACAACAGCCCCAACAACAACTGCCCCAACAACAACAGCTCCAACACCTACCCCAACAACAACTGCTCCAAGAACTACAACTGCCACAACAACTGCCCCAACAACAACTGCCCCAACAACAACTGCTCCAACAACAACAACTGCCCCAACAACAACAACTGCTCCAACAACAACTGCTACAACAACTGCCCCAACAACAACAACTGCTCCAACAACAACTGCTACAACAACTGCCCCAACAACAACAACTGCTCCAACAACAACTGCTACAACAACTGCCCCAACAACAACTGCTACAACAACTGGAACAACTGCCCCAATAACTGCTACAACAACTGCTACAACAACTACAACTGCTACAACAACTGCTCCAACAACAACAACTGCCCCAACAACAACTGCTACAACAACTGCCCCAACAACAACTACAACTGCTACAACACCTGCCCCTACAACAACTTCTCAAACAACTACAACTGCTACAACAACTGCTACAACAACTTCTCCAACAACAACAACTGCTACAACACCTGCCCCAACAACTACAACTTCTCAAACAACTACAACAACTGCTACAACTGCCCCAACAACTACAACTGCTACAACACCTGCCCCAACAACAACTGCTCCAACAACTACAACTGCCCATACAACTACTACATCTCCAACAACTACAACTGCCACAACAACTGCCCCAACAACAACAACTTCTCAAACAACTACGATCGCTACAACAACTTCTACAACAACTGCCCCAACAACAACAACTGCTACAACAACAACAACAACGGACCCGACAACTACAACACCTGCCCCAGCAACAACAACTGTTCCAACAACTACAACTACTACAACAACTGCTCCAACAACAACTATTACAACAACTGCCCCAACAACAACTACATCTCAAATAACTACAACTGCTATAACAACTGCCCCACCAACAACAACAACTGCACATACAACTACAACTGCTACAACAACTGCCCCAACAACAACTACTGCTCTAACAACTACAACGGCTACAACACCTGCTCCAACAACTACAACTGCTACAACATCTGCCNCTGCCCCGACAACAACTGCTCCAACAACTACAACTGCCCCAACAACAACTACATCTCCAACAACTACAACTACTGCAACAACCGCCCGAACAACAACAACTGCTCTAACAACACCTGCCCCAACTACAACTTCTCCAACAACTACAACTACTGCAAGAACCGTGCAAACAACTACAACTGCTACAACAACTGCCCCAACAACTACTACTTCTCCAACAACTACAACTGCTACAACACCTGCCCCAACTACAACAACTTCTCAAACAACTACAACTGCTACAACTGCCACAACAACAACTACATCTCCAACAATTACAACTACTACAACAACCGCCCAAACAACAACAACTGCTCTAACAACAACGACTGCCCCAACAACAACTGCTACAACAACTGCAACTGCCCCAACAACAACAACTGCTACAACAGCTACAACTGCTACAACAACTGCCCCAACAGCAACAACTGCTACAACAACTGCCCCAACAACAACTGCTCCAACAACAACAACTGCTCAAACAACTACAACTGATACAACACCTGCCCCAACAACAACTGCTCCAACAACTACAACTGCTACAACAACTGCCCCAACAACAACTACATCTCCAACAACTACAACTGTTACAACAACTGCTCCAACAACTACAACTGCTACAACAACTGCCACAACAACTACTGCTCCAACAACTACAACTGCTGCTACAACAACAACTGCTCCAACAACTACAACTGCTACAACTGCCCCAACAACAACAACTGCTACAACACCTGCCCCAACAACAACTGCTACACCAACTACAACTGCTACAACAACAACTGCTCCAACAACAACTTCTCAAACAACTACAACTTCTACAACACCTGCCCCAACAACAACTGCTCCAACAACTACAACTGCCCATACAACTACTACATCTCCAACAACTACAACTGCCACAACAACTGCCCCAACAACAACTTCTCAAACAACTACAACTGCTACAACAACAGACCCAACAACTACAATTGTTACAACACCTGCCCCAACAACAACAACTGCTCAAACAACTACAACTGCTACAACTGCCCCAACAACTACTTCTCCAACAACTACATCTGCTACAACAACCGTCCAAACAACTGCTCCAACAACTGCCCCAACAACTACAACTGCTACAACAACTGCTCCAACAACAACTGCCCCAACAACAACAACTGCTACAACACCTGTCCCAACAACAACTGCTACAACAACTACAACTGCCACAACAACTGCCCCAACAACTACAACTGCTACAGCAACTGCTCCAACAACAACTGCCCCAACAAAAACATCTGCTACAACCCCTGTCCCAACAACAACTGCTCCAACAACTACAACTGCTACAGCAACTGCTCCAACAACAACTGCCCCAACAAAAACATCTGCTACAACCCCTGTCCCAACAACAACTGCTCCAACAACTACAACTGCTACAGCAACTGCTCCAACAACAACTGCCCCAACAAAAACATCTGCTACAACCCCTGTCCCAACAACAACTGCTCCAACAACTACAACTGCTACAGCAACTGCTCCAACAACAACTGCCCCAACAAAAACATCTGCTACAACCCCTGTCCCAACAACAACTGCTCCAACAACTACAACTGCTACAGCAACTGCTCCAACAACAACTGCCCCAACAAAAACATCTGCTACAACCCCTGTCCCAACAACAACTGCTCCAACAACTACAACTGCTACAGCAACTGCTCCAACAACAACTGCCCCAACAAAAACATCTGCTACAACCCCTGTCCCAACAACAACTGCTCCAACAACTACAACTGCTACAGCAACTGCTCCAACAACAACTGCCCCAACAAAAACATCTGCTACAACCCCTGTCCCAACAACAACTGCTACAACAACTACAACTGCCACAACTGCCCCAACAACTTCTCAAACAACTGCAATTGCTACAACAACCGCGCAAACAACAACTGCTCCAACAACTGCCCCAACAACAACTGCCCCACCAACTACAACTGCTACAACAACTGCCCCAACAACTACAACTGCTACAACACCTGCGCCAACAACAACTGCTACAACAACTGCTCCAATAACTACAACTGCTACAATAACTACAACTGCTAAAACAACTGCCCCAACAACTACAACTGCTACAACAACTGCTCCAACAACAACTGCCCCAACAACAACAACTGCTACAACACCTGCCCCAACAACAACTGCTACAACAACTACAACTGCCACAACAACTGCCCAAACAACAACTTCTCAAACAACTACAACTGCTACAACAACTGCTCCAACAACTGCTCAAACAACTACAACTGCTACAACACCTGCCCCAACAACAACTGCTACAACAACTACAACTGCCACAACTGCCCCAACAACTTCTCAAACAACTGCAATTGCTACAACAACCGCGCAAACAACAACTGCTCCAACAACTGCCCCAACAACAACTGCCCCAACAACTACAACTGCTACAACACCTGCGCCAACAACAACTGCTACAACAACTGCCCCAATAACTACAACTGCTACAATAACTACAACTGCTAAAACAACTGCCCCAACAACTACAACTGCTACAACAACTGCCCCAACAACAACAAGTTCTCCAACAACAACTGCTACAACAACTGCCCTAACAACTGTCCCAACAACAAGTGCTCCAACAACAACTGCTACAACAACTGTTGCAACAACTTTCCCAACAACAACAACTGCTACAATATGTAAGAAATATTAAGTGTTACTTGATTTTTTAAAAACTTCAAGAGCTAAATAATTTTTCATCAAAATAATGTTTTGATTTTTTGATAATAACCCCTTCTCCAACAATGACAGCTGCTGTGACAACAACTGCAATAACAACAACACCTTCTATTACAACAGCAACTGCAACAACTATGTCACCTACTCCAACATCCACCACTGGGGCAACAACCACCCTGGCTCCTGAACCTACTTACACTATCTCAGCAGATTTGCCACTGGAGCCATTTTCAGGTGATCTCACTAACAGAAACAGCAGCCGATTCAAAGATCTTGAACAACGAGTTGTAGGGGCGGTAAGTACAATTCTTGAATACATTTTTCATTGCTTGTGTGAGCGTTGCATATGAATGATATGACAATCGTTTAGATCAAAGACAAATCTGATGAGGTGTAATCTAATTTCAGCAAAATTTGCACCTCTATTTAAATTCATATTATGAAAATTGTGCTTAAGAGCTACCCATGGTCTAAATTTTGCTTTCTTTTCGCAGTGTAATAGCATATACAGAACAACATTTGGTGCTCGGTTTGATCGGTGCTTTGTGAAACAGTTCAGGTAAACAGGGGTTCACTAATTTCTCTTCACATGCGGAATTTGGCACTTACACTGTTGATTGTATCATGTGTAAATCACAAATGTAGGTAAAGTATCATAATCGTTTCAAGTTGTTATTTGACACTTCTCTCATTTGGTTTCATGGTATAGGCCTGCGTCCTCAGGGCTACCACGAGTGAATGGAACCGAAGCAGAAATGGGGGTCGTGTTCAATCGGACTACTCCCACTGCAGATCTGCCACAGAATACTGTCGTTGTTCAAACCTTAGTAGAAGCGGTTAATGCTTCCACCAATATGTTCAACTTGACCATAAATCCAAACACAGTTGAAGTATTAAGTAAGTTAACATAACACAATGTGTCACTCTCATCAGTACTTAAACGAGTCAGCAACAAAATTATGTTTTTATACAAGAAATGAAGGTATAGGAGACATTTATTAAGGCAACTTTAACATTTCAGTGTTGTACAGTTCAATCCATTCATTCAATACTTCCATGTGTCCCAGGATTATATATTATCTCTGCTACCATGTATTCAGCTGGAATGTCTGTAATGTAAATTTGTTTGACTTCAGCAACTTCAGAACTAGATAAAATGCAAAAAACTAATACTTATTTACTCAGTCTCTAAAAAAATGTTTTACAGCAAGTCCAGTTGTAAATGCAACTACAACTGCCAACTCTACAACTGCTGCACCTACAACCTCCAATCCTTCAACTGTTGCACCTACAACCTCCAATCCTTCAACTGCTGCACCTACAACCTCCAATCCTTCAACTGCTGCACCTACAACCTCCAATCCTTCAACTGCTGCACCTACAACCTCCAATCCTTCAACTGCTGCACCTACAACTGCTGCACTCACAACAAGGCGGGTGACTTTCAGGTCTCTTCTAAACACGTTTACGAGTGACTTGCTGGATACATCATCTGCTGCTTTTACAAACCGAGCCTCCATGATAAAGGGACAGGTAAGTCTCACCCCTAAAATAAAACCTGTGGGTATACTTTATTGAATCATTGTATTATTGTGTAATATATTTATCAGAGAAACCACTCATAGAATCAGAATAGTATCATTAAACAGAAGTGTAATAAAATGTCATTATGTTACAAGCAAATATGTTTCCTTTTTCTCGCAGCTTGAACCTTTGTACCAAAGGGAATTCCCCTCTTCCTTCAATTCTTTGGACGTGGTGGCATTCAGGTAATTTTTTTACACATAACATAAAATTTAAGAATTGTGACCTGATGTGAATCTGATATTTCATACAGTACTTTTTTTACTCCTGCAGAAATGGATCAATCATTAACGAAGTGATTCTTCGCTTCAGAAGCACATCTGTTCCTAATAACACTCAGATTGCGAGTGTTTTGATCAGTGCAGCTTCAACTGTCACTGGCTTCGACATCGAAGGCAGCTCCATCACCGTGGATGGCATATGTAAGAAATATTGAGTGCTACTTGATTTATTAAAGAAAATTAAAAAGCTAAATAATTATTTATTAAACCAATGTTTTGATTTATTTTCTCCTCACTTACAGCTTCAAGTGGAGTAAGCCACAAGATCAGTCTCATCACTGCATCCTGCCTGGTGCTGTTGTCATGGCTACTGTCAAGCCAGCAATAACTGATTTCCCTTTGAAATGCCATTAGAACATGACTGCCATCTCTGGTATGAAAAAGGACTTCAGCTTTACACTGATCAGACAAATTAATGACTGTGGATTAGACATGTCTGTCGAACTGAACACATTTCTGTGTGGGAACGTCCAGGATCCTGGACAGAATGACACAGCCAACTCTAAGTTTCTGGTCCATTGAATCATCACTGGAATTATAAGCTCAACAATATAAGGACACTATCTATTAAACACTGGGATGTCAGTCAATATTTGCACTGTCTCACCATTAAGGTATAAATGTATCTGCTTCACTGAGCACTGTGCTATAGCAATATTTGTGTAATTAATATTTAACTAAGTGACAATTACTAATGCTGTCTTATGTAAACCTTACTGTGGTCTCCAAATGCATGTAAAATTAATATTTAGGTTTATGTCTTAAATTAAATGAAGGAACACATGCAGGTCATAGTGGGCCCCACACTCCAACCCTATATAGATTTATCAAGGGTCATGGTGTACATGATATGTCAAAACTGTCACTTGTCTTAAATAAAAAATGTATTTATGTAATCACGCATAGCTGTATTCTGTGAGATTTCTGGCCATTTTTACAATTTCTGTCAGAGACTTTACAATGATCAGAATATTAAATCTAGTTGGAATTTCAGTTGTCTCTTATGTGATGTTTTGCTATTTTGGGTAAAGTAAAAGTGGATCAGATTATGTTTAAGGTCAGGAACTTTAATGAAAGCAGCGCTGACGTTTACAATCAAACACAGGATAATGGCAGTAGCACAAGCACAATCCCATTGTCTATATAGCAGTATCTACATAAAGCTACCAAACATTAGCTACTAGTTCTACCAGACATAGTAAGACTGTAGCAGGAAAACCATTAACTATCACTGATCCTTTCCCATTTTCTGGGAGTTTTAATGACCTGGGGGAGTTTTACAGTTTAAAATCACTAATTAGCTATTTACATCTTGTGATTTAATTGTTTGTTTTTTTTATTATCTTAGATTCAAAATTAAATATTTAAGTTGACTATTTTAAGACAACACAAGGAAAGAAGTAGATAAAGGATATGATTCTCCACCAGAATTCCTGGCAGTGTAGAGAAGGTTTTAAAACGTTATTCATTTATAATTATTTATTCTTTTGAGGATGGATGGGAGTGCGAGAGCTTGGACTCATGACGTCATTACTTCTTAAACCTGGCTACATCCCTGTTCCTGAGCATACTGAATTGAACAAAGCTGTGTTTTCTTGCTTAGGAATTCAACTTTGTATTTGTGATATTAAGAAAGTGACATTTCTTTTTCTGTGCAGTGAATATGAATATGGTGACCCTGCTGGAATTTGTCAATCTTTCAATCAGTTTTCAGGGAAATCTCTAAAAGGTTTCTCTGGTTCCAGCCTCTTAAATGTGAATGTCTTTCTTTTCTTTGTTTTATAACCAAGTAAAGTGGATATATTTGGGTTAAGAGCTGTTGTTGGGACCAAATAAGCAATTTGCAGAAGTCATCTCATTTTTACAAAGCCAAACAATTATTCAGCAGAATATTTAATAATGACCCATTTACATCTATAACTATTTACATGAATACTTGATTTTCGCTGCTGTGTTGCTAATCTTGCACCCATTACTGTCTTGTGTTTCAATGCTCTCCCAGTGACGTGGATGCATCAGAGATAGGCTTCACAAGCCTACTAGTTGGGAAAAGGTTATTTTTATATCTGCTGATCAGCGGAACCGGAAGTGGAAAACACATGGATTAGTGTGTTTACAACTGCTATCCTCCTAGGTGCACCCGGCATCATCCTGCCGTCCTAAACAGACCAGTGTAATTTGCACTTGCAGGCTGGGGCTGCCTCCGACATAACGTATGTTTAAGTACAGACCTGTTTTTAAATTCTTTTTGCTGAGGACGAGGTTGTTAGCTAATTGCGGTCTGTAGCCTATCTGTCGCAGCGTCGGGCCATCCACCATCTGTGGAAGTGGGACAAGGGAACAGATGGCGCATCCAAGCCGGGCTGCAGGGCTGCTGACGCTGTCTGTTAAGCACTGAAGATGAGTATCAATCATTAAAATAAAAGCCTGTTCTTGGCTATCGCATCGTATCTTTAGCTGGACTTGACGATGCAGCAGTGGCTTGGATAAGAGGGGGGAAACAGGAAGCATCGCAGATTCATTACATTGATGCGCGACGACTCGACCACTGGCATCAACTTAATCCCCTTTTGACGTGCCTCTGGCCCGGTGAACAATGGTTGACAACCGCTACGCCACAGCCCTGGTCATCGCTTGTGTGCTAAGCATACTGGCCACCGTGTATCTGTCGGTGGCCATCGGGACACAGCACTGGTACCAGTACAGCAGCCCCACCGTGCGCGGGGAGGCCAACGTGTCTGAGCTGCGCTCTCTGTATGAGGAGTTCATGGATGGGGAGTTTGATGAGAAAACTTACAGCGACACCCTGTTCCGCCTCAACGGGACTGTGGGCCTCTGGTGGCGGTGTGTGCTCGTTCCCTCCAACGCTCACTGGAACAAGGAGCCAGGTAAGTTTATATAACTGACTCACCTGAGCAATGACCCTGTGTAGTGTCACTGTCGGAGAGTGAGAATACCACAGTGACAGTGAGACACTAATTTATGTCTTTACACTATGAAGCTGGCCTCTACTCATGAGCCCCACCTTGTTTGTGGATGACAGCAGGTGTGGCTCATTCTCGAATAGGTTGCTGGGAACGAAAAAAGTTTCAACTTGTCTTCAGCCCCAGTTGTGCTTCTCATGTACTGCCATTTGAGTCACTGAGCTACACAAAGAAATACCCAGCTTTCTTTGAAAAAGCCAGAAGATCAGCAAACAACATATCCCTCTGCTCTGAAAGTACTGGATACATTTAATCTGTGTTTTCTTGGGTTTCTCCAAATAGTTCAGTGGAGGTGTTCAACCATCCAGATCCTAATTTTTCTCATGATTCATGCTGGATTACCAACCAGGCAAAGTGGGTAACTGCCCAATGAGGCCCTAAAGCCACAGGTTTACTCCACATCATTTCTGTCTACATAAAATTGATTAATTGCAAATTTACTATAAAATTTGCTCCACCGAGCGACTATGACAGGTCCCCCATCCTCCACCCTAAAGGGCCTAGTCTTGCAGAAGGATCCTGTGCCCTTGTTTCTTAATTGTTTTTGTTCATTTTGAGCCTATTTGTTGTACAGTTGTGTTTTATCGAAGTGCTTTAATTTTTTTTCTCTGAGTGTCAAGTACTGAACAGAGAAAATCTTAGGAAAGGAAATATTCCTTCATAAGAGTACTGTAAAGTTGCAACCATCAATTAATTTTCATTTTCATTGCTTTACATCAATCATCATTAGGTTCTGACACTTATTTTCTTTAATAATTAATTAATTGTTCGTTGTATAGAATAGTGGGGAAATGCCCCCGGTGTTCCCAGAAGCCCAAGTTAATGCACTGAATTCAAATTGCTTCTTTTTTGTGCCCAATCGTCAAAACCACAAAACGTTGAGTTTACCATCGTAGAAAACTGGTAAACTGACAAATTTTCAAATTCAAGAAGCTGGCACAAATGAATATTTGGTATTTTATCTTAAAATGACTTTATTAAATAATTATCATAATTGATGTCATTTTCTGTCAATGGACTATTTGATGGATCAACTGATCATTTCAGCTCTAGAGTACTGGTTTGTTTCTGGGTGGCTGGGGATATGTGTAATGGGTGTCAGTAGGGGCCCAACAACAATTTTTTTGCTGTGGGGCTCTCTAGTAGGTCACTATAATCTGAACATGCTGGTGATCTGTTTCGATCGTAGATGCATGAAATATTTTTGCTATTCTACTTTTTGTTGTGTGAAAACACCTGTTCTTTTTTTTTCTGAAGGTTAATGTTATGACCCACAAAAACAAAAAATCATGCAACTCAGCTAACAGAGTTGCCCCTTGTTTGAAATTACTGAATAATGTACATTGCCAGTACATTTTTGTGAATTTTAAGCAATATATCCAAATATACTAGTTGTTTGCAAGTTCATTTTATTCATCTGCTGGATTTAAAAGCAACCAGTTTCTCCCTGGAACATGAAAAACATTGAAAAAAAAGTTTAGTAATGGATATGCAACTCATAGTAAACTGTCTAATACATGCTCAAACAAGCTCTTTAAGTAAATAACCTCTTTCAGATGCCAAGATGGTGCTGGAGTGTCGAAGCTTCACTCTACCTCAGCAGTTCACTCCCAAGTACAAAGAGCCAGGAAACCACAACAGTGGCGAGGACATGCTGCGCACCTGTAAGTTCAGTCACCACAAATTTACCCATATTGAAATGTTATAAGATGCATGAAGCTGGAGGCTGTAAACTTGCATCAGATTCAGCCTCTTCTCTGTTTAGGGCATTAATTATGACCAATATGTGATGTTGAATAATATATTGCCCCCAATCAGGGCAGTGTCTTCTGTCTTTGCGGGTAAACGAAAGCCACAGTTATAGTGAGCCCACTGACTCATACCTTCCTGTGTCTGCATGTTTAGACCTGTGGAGGTGCCAGTTTCTGCTGCCACTGGTGTCCCTGGGCCTGGTGGTGTTGGCAGGCCTGACTGGCTTCTGTGCCTGCCTCTGCCGAAGCCTCACCCCCACCCTTGGCATAGGAGTACTTCACCTTCTGGCTGGTGAGACGTGTGCTCCTACTTACTTGTAAATTGTGATCCATAAGCGTCATCAAAGTGGAAAATTGAGCAGTTAGTAGTAGGTCTTTAAAAAGCATCAGTAAATAGTTTTCCCTGACATGAATTTCAAAACCAAGAGTTGTAATTGTGTCTCTGTAGTTTGAGCTTGAACCGCAGTCCAAGTGTGTCTTGAGTTTGTGTCCAAGTCTCTAAGAGTAATATTAGCAACAAAAAAGCATGTTCACAATTTAACACATGTCCAAAACAGAATTGATTTAGATTTATTCTTAATAATCCATTCATACATCAACAGACAGTAAATCAAAACTAGCTATTTCCCCGAATCCATAGGATGGACACAATATGTACAGTATATATAGTGTATATACAGCAAGTTCAAAAGTCTGAGACCGCTTTTACATTCAAGTGAATGGGAGTGAATTAAAACAGGTAACCAGTTAACTGAAATATCACATTAAAACTGGTTACTGGTTTTAATATTGTGGCTGATTGGTGGATATTCCCATAAGGTTTTTTTTTTTTTTTCCAACGAGTCCATTGCCATGCATTGCCATGAATTTTTTACCAGATGATGGCGTTAGATAGAAAGTCAGAGGATCAGCATAGTTATTTGGATTCATCATCTGGGGATCATGAATGTCTTTTAATAAATGTTAACAGTAATCCATCTAATAGTTGCTGAGATATTTTAGTCTAGGCCAAAGAGGTGGACCAACAGACCAACATTGCAATCCTTACACTAGAAGTATGATCGGGCTATATAATGTCAGATTCCACAACCAGAAAATCAAGTTTTCTGCAGAGTGCATTATGTAAATGGCTGTTAGACACAATGCCATTCCACAATGCTAGCGTAACGTCTGCTTGAGGCAACATGATCACTATTAAATCTTTTAACTTTAATATTTATGGTTTACAGGTGGCAGGTGCGCCTTATAAGTTGGATTCATGACAAGTTGTTCCAAATGCAGTTTCCCTCACTGTACTCTATCTGCCCAGCACCAAACAGCAAACAGACACAGTCAGCAACTAGCTGGGGAACATAGTGGAGCATTCAGTAGCTAAAGACCAGATATTTCTCTCAGGAGACTAAACCAGAGCTTAAAGGAGAGTGAATATTGGGTTTACGGTTGTCAGGTGGCCAGAAACACAACTCCAAATGAATGCAAACGTTCTGTATCTGCTGCATGTAAAAATGTTGCTTGTTTGCTATCATGTTCACTATATTAACTTTATAGGGTGATACTATGTCAATGTTGTGTTTACCACTTGTTGCACTAGGTAATGCAGGTTTAATGACTTTAAAGTCAGCGATGAATGACCATCAGCTTAGCACTGTACGCCCTAAAGCAATGCAACATTAAGCCATCCCGAAAGGAGATGCGATACAATACAAACACAACAGCAGAGCGAGTGTATTTGTGTTTGACGTATCCAAAAATGTATGTATATGAAATGTCAAGTGCAGAAATCTCTACGTAAACACCCATTTGAAACCTGGTTAGCTAGGAAATGCTGTCACAGCTGAATAAGCTTCTCCTTACACCCCCTTATCCTTTGCCCTGCAGGTCTCTGCACTTTAGCCACAGTGTGCTGCTACCTGGCAGGGATGGACCTGCTGCACAGGGTGTCGATGCTGCCTGATAAGGTGGATGGCTCTCTGGGCTGGTCCCTCTACTTGGCCCTCATCTCCTCACCGCTCCACATGATGGCCGCTGCGCTGCTGGTGTGGGCGGCACGCAGCCACAGTCAGAACTACTACCGCATGACTGCATACCGGGTGGCATAGGCTGTGATCTCTGCCCTGTTTAAATTTATACCCCATACTGACACCAAGATGCATTTTATAATGATCTTAGAGGAGCGGGATGTGGGTTAATCTGTGCGTTTTGCCCTCTGATGGATTAAAGTGCATGTACTCTTTAGTAGTGACCCTATCTGCTGCATTAAAAGATTTGATTTTTATCTCTCTTTGGAATTGGTTTGAAAAAATGTTAACCAGAAAGATGTGCATAGTACAGCATATGTTTAGTTCAGAATAATTTAACACCAAGCTGAAAAGCATTAGCTGTGTCCCAGTTTCATACTACACATTAATTAAATCCAAAATGTAACGATTCACATCAGAAAAATAGCTAAATTAAAGGATAATTGTTATTTATTTTTATAGTTTTGACCATCCTTCCTAAAGTTTATATTATGAATACAATGACTGTACTCACAAAGTTAATTGCAGACATGTAAGGATGCAACAACATCACTTAAAAATAAGTTTGACAGGGCAAGAAAAACGGCCAGTTAACATAATCCAAGACATTATCAACACATCCCCAGGTTAGACAAACCGATTTGGATGAGAAACTGAAGGCAACCAATGAGTATCGTTTAATGTTATTATCATTATTATTATTATTAATATTATTTTCATCACCATTACAAGTTCAAACTAGTTCAACTCAAACAAGTTCAAGTTCAACATTTAAAGGCCTCTTTCAGTTTCACCCCCATAATGTTCATTTCTTGCCCTGTCAGATTTGATCACAGGGATGACATTGTGTTCTTATTATTCCCTGTACAATATTATCTTAGTGGAGGTATGTGGTATTGAATTGGGACACAGCAGCTGCTTCACTGACACACCCATAATGCCAGCTGGGGTGCGGCGACAATTCCCCTTTGTTGCACATACAAACACCTGACATTAACGTACAGGTGCACTGGACCTGCCCTGAGTATTTCTCTGCAGCGTTGCATGAAGACAAAAAAGATATTTATTTTGACAGATTTGCTGTTACACAATCAGTCTTTTTCTTCAACTGCTTAAAAACATAGTCTGTGACTGTGGGCATCAATCAGGAGTACAATCAGAGAGACTGTGACTATTACTGTATTTATCTTTCTATTATTACTGAAGATTGACTTTTGACATCCTCCCTTTTTTTTTATCTCAGTGACATTTATTTATTTATTTATGACAATTATGAAGGTCAAACTGTGTAAATTTATTTTGTTTTCAATTTTCAAGTACATTTTTTATGTTTTGACTAATTTTGTAGGCTTTTGTAGAAAATATGAAAAAGTAATGTATTCATCATAGTGGTACTTCTTCACCATTTTGTGTTTTGTTTTGTTGACCTCGTATGCTCATATAAATTGGTTTCCACATGCTTTTTGTGAATTTAGCTGATTTTATTGTTATTTATTTGATTTATATGTGTTCCTTGATTTTTTTTTATTAATCCCTTTTTGCTATCATCACTATGGAAGAAACACACAAATTAACTAAATCAACAAAATTTAAGGGAAATAGGTTTTCCCTGTTAGGCATTATGAATGTACTTTAAAGGCCATATTATGATAAGCTACAGTGTTCCTTTGCACTTCAATTATTTTTTGAACATATCCTGAATATTGCTGTAGTACTTGCTAGTGAATTTCTATTTTTTGACAATGTAAATGTCCAAATAATCAAATACATTTTGAAAAGACACCATTATTACCCTTTAAACCATGCTATATGTCTCCATAAGTATATAGAGTAACAGAACTCACAAGGTTTCATGAAATAAAATGATGCATTATGTGTGGTCTGATATTGGTCTTATAAATCAGATTGTATTTGACATATTCAACCTTTAAATACAAGAAACTGCTCTTTCCCTGAATCCACAGTAGCATAAATATAACAGCTGTATGACTGTGCTTTTGTGAATCTACAGTGAATGTGTTGTTCATTCTCCAGTTGTGGGCTGACACGGTCAATAATTGTACAGTTAAATATTGTGTGTGAGTGTATGCAAGCGTACACATGCAAATGGTGCGTGGTCCAAGCAACTGCTGTCATTTCAATAAAAGCTTTTTTTGTTTAAATTTATTTCATAGTCACATCAGTATCATGTTTTAAAAGCCCATCCTCACTCCTCTTCTTCTGATGCAAATCCCTGTTCGTTAGCTTGTTGCTCCTGCTCTGTCTGCACCCGGATTGCAGGAATCATCACATGCCTCTTTCTCGCCAGGGAGAGAGCGATGCCCTTCTCGTAATACGCACATTCATTGACAAAGAAAGGATAAAGTGGTTCATTGCCTTTATACCTCAGTGTTTCACCTGAGAAAGTCTGGAACAGTGCATCCTCAGGGTGGAGCAGGCAGAAGTCTCGGTCCTGGAATGTAAGGCAGACAATCAGGTTGATTGCTAACAGGCAACACCTGTTGGCTTTAAAAAGCTGTGAATCAATATCCCAATTTCACATGTGAGGTTTTAAAGCAGCTGGGCAGCTAGCAATAGTTCCCAAGATTATATATACTGTAATTGAAGGAGCAATGGTCATGAAACCTGTTAAAAGAGCAGTCTTAAAAGGACTTCAGTTCAACATTTTGGGAGATATGCTTATTTACTTTCTTGCCTGAGACTTAGAAACCTACCAGCACCTCTAAAATTCACAAATTAACACATAGTGGGTTTTATGGTTTCATCGCTGGTGTTTTCATTCACAAATGCTCTTTGATGCTTCATAAAAAAGTCTATGACCGAAACGTGTTGACAGTGTGCATGAATTCAGTTTGTTTAATGTGGTTGTAAACTAAAATAACATCGATTTGACTTCAAATATTGCCAATTTTGTAATGGTCTGCATGTTTTCACTGTAGCTGCACCCTTGGCTTTTGAGAGAACAATAATTTATTTAGTACTTTGACTTTGTGAATCAATTGTATCTCAAAGAAAAGCTTACATCTGTTATATTTACATTCTAAACTGACCAGTCTGATTTATTCACAATGAACATTATCAGGATTCCTGATGTAATTTAGTAATACTCCAAACCAGCCATTTTAAATCCATGTTAGTACTGGCGGTGACATCCTTCATGGTTGTGTGTACTGATTAAAAATAATGATAGGAGACAAACTGTGGTGACACTGCCTTCTGACTGACAGGTTGCTGCCAAACACAACAAACATCGCCTTAAAAATCATGACAGATTTCAATCAGCACCTGTGAGTCAGAACCTACATTGTAAAAATCACAATGCTGACTATTTATAGGGAACATGCTTGTCACGGCAGTCTCCAGAAATGACAAAGTATCATTATTAGTCACTATTATCAGGTACTTTAAATTCAATCCACCTGTTTCTAGTCCTGTTTTTCTACTGATTTTCAAAATTAACGTTGCACCTTGAACATTTGAACTGTGGACAACAGAGAAACACTTTTTTTTTTTCTTTTTCTTTTTTTTGAGTCCAGAATATCCAAACACACATGAACATGAAAATCCAAATTGCCGCCTGTCAAGTGACAGTATCGACCATACGACCAGATTTCAGAGGAGTTTCTTTCCTCAGGCTGAGACTACTGAATTCATCCTCCACACCCCACTATGAAAGTATTTTTATTTTTATTACTTATTTATTCATTCATTATATAACTTTTATTTTTTGTGAGTTGCAAATGATGCATAATGATCATTAAATTTAATCTTGATTAATTTCTTAATAATGTTCAAGGAAGTTTCCTTGAAAGAACTATTAACTAATTTGGCACCAATTATTACCATTAGAAATATTAGAGACTCCACATATATGATGAACTGTATGCTTTCCTGTATATAAATGTCACATTTTTGCTTTTTAAACACACCTGCTGTGCACTGACTAAAAGACTCTCCAGTTTCCACAAGGAGTTAATTGGTATGAATGAATTGTAAGTGTACCAATTTTTTTACTTAATTTACACTTTATTCTGTTTTCTCTGTAATTAATATCAAATTTCATACTGAATGACCCAACCCATGAAATTATTTAGGCCCTACAGACCTGCAAGATAGATTTGAGAAATCGTTGTTGCGAATAATTTCCCTCGTCTAATTTTCTGGATGCCGTTGACTCACAACCGCCAGCGTAACAGTAGATTTGTCATGGTATGAAAACCATGTTGTGTACGTCATGATTGCTTTTTAGTGTAAAGCCATTTAACAGGAAGAGGCCCCACCCTGTGTTGTGACTAATCCTGGGTATAGTTCGAAAGTTTTGTGAACAGCAGGTGAGGTCAGATACCAGACACAGTTCATCCTGACATTATATTTAGTACCTTTGAACAAAGGTTGATTATTTTTCTTTACACAAAAGGTCCTGTTTCTTTTGTGGTGTCCAGTACTTTAATGTTAAGCAGTTTATTTTCATTTTGTTTGTTATTTTAGCCTCTGTCTGGATGGTTCAAACTTACATAACTGGGCTCAATTGCATTCAAAGGCAAAGCGCAAAACTTAATTAAATACTGAAGCTACACATATATTTCAGACTGTACCTGGAGTTGAGGATGAATGGCTGCTGTGATGTTGTGAGTCTCGCTGTCTCTTGGGTAGTCAATGTGTTTAACCATGGTGAACACATCCACAAATCCTCCTTCAAAAATAGTACCTGAAAATAAAAGCATAACTGACTAAAAGAGGGTCTAAACAAGTTCAACAAGTTTGCAAAACTGGTGACATTTTGGAATTGGGTGTCAAAGCAAAAAATGCTGTTTAATTGTACCTGAGTTGAAGAAACGGACCCAATCGAGCACATGCTGAACACCAACTTTCATCGCCGTATAGATGTTTGACCGCACCACACCGTGGGGCTGAGGGCCGATCTCCATGGCTGGAGAAAATGGATTTTAGATGGCAAACATCACAAATTATCCAGTCTTTCTATCCTTTGAATAAGCAGTTAGTTTGTAGAAACAATGAAAATCTTACCAAAGCCATGTTTTCCCACTGAATCAAGGGAATATGATTCTTTACTGGAGACATCGAAATGGATGTACCTCAATGGTATATCTGGCATCTGCCTCTGAAGAAGACATGTCAGACTTGAAGTTAGGTTTCTGGCATAATCACTTTTAATGTACTTCTAAATGTACCCGACTCTGGAAAGTTTCTCAGATATGCAGAGGGAATCGATTTGACTTCTGTGTGAAATAACTTGCCTGAAGGTGTCTGAATATGTGCAGGCAGATCCAGTCGCAGTCAGAGTACGCAATGAGGCACAGGCCCATGTTGGCAGTGGTGTTATGGAGGTCACAAACAAGATCCACCGCCTTAGGACTGCCTTTGGGACCCAGCATCGCATTCAGTTCTCGGGACCTGATCATCTCGTAGGGGTCCGAGTCTGACGTGGAACCACTGTGAGACAAGACGTACAAAATGACAACTCATCATCATCAGAACTGTTACCATGAGCATCAACATCACCTCTTAATGCCGCCTTACTTGAGGGTGGCGTGGGTGAAGCAGCGGTTCAGGTCGGTGTCGATGTATCTGCGGCATTGCTGCATGGCCCGTGGGTTCGACAGCACCATCTGCACCGACAGAGGCTCCTCTTCCTCCTCCTCTTTTTTCCTCACTTTCTTCTCCGCCTTCAGCAGCTCTCTCACCAAGTACACCCCAGACAACTCGTTGCCATGGGTACCACCGCACACAGCGACCCGGGACAACCTCGGTAAACACACCACCTCGTCTACTTCCATCAGACTGAGAGCAGGAAGAGATACGGGGGAAAGGCTGCAAGAAATTTAAAACGTTTGCAACTGGTCTATGTGGTGTTTCAGTCCTCATGCATTATACAGTATTATGCATCCAGTTTTGAGCAGATCACATGCAAAGATGGAGTTGAATTTTCTCTGTTAATACACTATTTGTATCAGTGTGTATGACTGTCAAATGATGCCAAACTACAAATTTGATTCCCTCTTGTTTGGCTCAGTGGGAGGTATCAATTACACCCATGCTGATGTCACTGGGTACATGGTAGACAACACTGCAACATTAAGCAGAGATATTGATTTGTGAAACCTTACCTCGCTTTTCTGGCTTGCTGAACTGTAAAGGAGCAGTTCCGGCTTTAAACCCTATAAATTTATCGTAGTCTAAAGCAGCACTTAAATTAAAGTCTGTTTAAAGTCTCTTAACTGAGGAGGAAAGCCTGAGTTAAAACAGGGTGAACTGTCAGCTCCACATTCACAAATAAGAGATGAAATGAATGACGAGGCATCGTCCTGTACATCTTACCCAATATACCCTGGCCGTTACCTTTCTCTTCCCTCTCCCCCTGCCGTTTACCCTCTTCCACCCTCTCCCAGGCTTTCATGCAGTTTTACTGATTCAGCATTCCCATCCCCTCTGTACAGGCTGTCGCTGCCTGTTATGCAAACTCTCACCGTCCCTCTACCACCTCTTGTCCACTGCACTGTACTATACTGTATCGTAGGCAGGGTGTGTCCTGAGTGTGATGTGGTGCATCGATTGCTTCCTTTGGTACCAACAGCTGTGAGGTCAACCCGAACCCTAAGCCCCTCCCCAACTTTCCCCAACTCCCTGTTTCTCTCTGCCCCATGTATAGGATGGTAGGTTCCAGTCTGCCTTTCAGAAAATTGGCTAAAAATAAATCTGCTGGCATGACACAGCAGGAGAGGCGCCTGCGATGTGCACAGTGGAAGAAACAGCTCTTCTCTCAGGGAAAATAACGTGCACCAGCTGGTGATTTAAAGAGAACACAGACTTGAAGTTTGAATGCTCCAGTGAAAATATCTGGTTACAGTTCGTCTTAAAACCTATTTTTACAGAATTTTTTTTCTTTTTTTAACTGTGAGATGGCCTTTTACACAAGTAAAGCTTGTTTTTTTTTATCTTGAATTGTGTTGTTTTTCCTTTAGTATATAATAGAAAATCCTATGTAATTGTTTTCTGCTTTTTACAGTAGCCTTACCAACACTGGATTTTAAAAGGTCCATATCTGTATCAAATTGTTAGCAAATATTCTTTTTCCTTCTTTAAAACATACAAATATTTCCATTAAGGAGACCTTCAATTAGTTTAAGGACTTTACAGTTAAGAGTTTGCAGCCATGCTATCAGCTTTGTGACACTATACTTATGCACAGTGGTGCTTTCAGCAAAATGCTAATACCAGCATGCTAACATGCTGATGTTTTGAGGATATAATATTTACTGGGTACACTATTATAGCTTAGTGTGTTAATAATTTAATTGACTACAACTAATTAGTAGTAAATATGAAGCAGTGCTGAGGCTGATGGGGGTAAGTTTTGTAAGTATTTGGTGATTAATCAAAGTATTGGAGAAATGAAAGTTTTGACTTCTTGATGTGGCTACATGAAAAATGAGCAGATCATAACACATCCTCACTAATGAGAATAAACTCAAGTGCCCTCTAAAGGACTAACTATGCAACAGCAACACTTTTGAAAGGACTGCAAACATATCTTTGGAATTTCTGTGCTTGTTGAACAATTATATACACCAGTACCAATACATCTGGGATAAGCTGATATTGATCGATATACTGGCCCAGCTCCAGATTTATTGGTGTAGTTCTACTTTTTACCTCATGCAATTTTAATGTTTCTCAACATTGGCTTTTATTTTACCGACTTCCTACTTCTTGGTAGAAAAATGCCCTGTAGATAAACTGTTTTTGTATAAATTCATAATTTTTGGAATTATACAATTACAACTGTACATACATACTGTATATATAATTATATAAAAAATAAAAGCCAACTGGAACACAAACTGATGGGAACATGTTTTCATTGGTTGCTAATGTCATCCCAGGTGGAGGCTTAAAACAGATATTCCTGAAGAACTGGTTCAGCAAACTTTCAATTGTGTGACCTTATTCATGACAAAAGAAACTGAAGAACAGTATGAAAAGCTATTTCTTTGACATCACAGCATTTGTTTATTACAGATTGTTTTTCTTTGTTAATACAAAATACTGAACAATGTCATGTCTCCCCTCTTGGTCAAGTATGGAAACTCCCTTTTTTCTGAAAATGAAGACAGTCTTCTTCACATAATGTGAGAGGAACCCAAAATACAAGAAAAAAAAACTACTTTACAGTTATCAATACTATAATATGAATTTCTATACATTTATAAAATCATAGTTATTTGCAATGCTTTTAAATTCTTTGTTTCTTTATTCTTCATTTTTAAGTACACTTACAAACAAAATTATGAAATGCACACACACATTATATCCCATGTTTTTGGTGTCAAAATGTACTTGCATATGTATGAACTTTTCAGCAGATACATGAAGGTGTGATATTTATTTTATCATTTACTTTTCATTGTTTTCTTTGCTCATTTGTCTGTTACTGTCAAAAAAAAATCACACCAAGTATCCCACACATTTTAATTAATTTTTACTGCCATGTAACTTAGTTACCATTCACTTTAATTGCAAAATGGCTAAATATTATCCCAATGCTGTGAAAAAGGGTAAATTCATTAATTGTTATTGAATAAAACTGAACTAATGTGAGATATCCTCAGCACTGGAACAAACTTTTTGCCATTTTGCATCTTTGTTTCCTTTCCCAAGTGTTTCTTCAAAGTTTGTACATGAAACCAGCAATAAACATCAGCGTCATATCCACTGAGGTGTGATGTAAATACAAGTGAGAGCAGGTTGCTCGTTTCTAAGGCGAAGAGAAAGTGTGTTGAGGCCTTGTACCCACATCACAATTTTCACAATAATAATTTCCATCAGGCCTTGGTAATGAAAAAAAATCCCTTCTAACTATAAAACATGACAGTGTAGAGGGTCAACTGGTATTCTGGACAATCATTTTTTTTTTTTTTTACTGCACAATGGCAGTGTTGTAAAGTGATGAAAGAGCAGATATGCAGTCATACACACAAGCACACTGGAACCTTCACTTCATTACATTAAGACACTAAATCAGAGAGATAAACAAGAAATCGTTGCTAACATCTTGAAGGCCACCAGTCGACATTTTAATGAAATTATTTTAATCATATTTATATATAAATCTATATATTAACCACGTCTTAACCCCCTTTTTTTTTTTTTTTAGAGTTGTTACCAAAGCACACAATGCTGTGGATGACGATAGGAACACTACATTATCTCACAGGGTGTTATCAGCACAAAACCTCTTCTGCTCCTGATCTGAGAGACTGAACAGACTTGAGCAGAGAGACTAAAAGAACGATCTACTATAGATTTGGAAGCACTGCCCATTTCATTTCCTCCCCCTTATGCTCAGCCAGACCCGAGTCAAAGCAGCATAGAATTTTCATTCCAGTCCTCTCAGATGTGTGACGGCAATGAAGGGGTAGATGCTAAGACTCAAGGAGACAGGAACCAAAATGGGGATGAGGGAAGCCAGAGGGATAACCCTGCTCCCTCTGGATCAGACAGCAGTGACCGTCCTGGAGATCTCTTAGAACAGAGAGCCACTGGAGGGAAGCAGCTGTCCAAGTAGGGGACAAGCAGGCCTTTGTGGTAGCTGTCCACCAGGCGGCTTTGATGGATCAGTCTCTTCAGGGCACTTTGCAGGCAACACCGAGGTCAAAATATGTCTGGGCAACCCTCCCAGCTGCCACGGTCCTTAGCTTCCCAGTAGCCTCCCTTATAGATATGGATTTGCTCACCTGTGATCCGGTCCTCACAGCGCTCAAACCAAAGTGCCTGGTAGTTGTCATGAGGTGCACCTGAAAGATAAAAACAGTGTTACCAAAAAAAGCTAGTAGAAAGTAAACAATCTTGATAGATGATTAGGACAATTAAAGCATGAGGAGGTGACAGTAAAAGAGACTAAAAGAGGAATACTTGCTTTTTAAGGAGGGATCAGTAAGAGAGTCCTCATCGACAGCTTTTGGAAGAGAAAGGGGGATCACAGAGATTCTTTTTTTATCTCTAAATTCCAAGATTTTCCCCAAACAAGGTAGAGAGGAATACAGAAGCAGTAACACATTAACACAGACTTGACTCACCTTCTTCTGATTGGCTGGAGGTGCGTTGGCTGGCGGCCTCTCTCTCTCTTTCCCGCCGGGCGCTGCGCTGCTTCTCCTCCAGCCGCTGCTTCTCAGCGTTGGCCTCTTCCCAGCGGCCGTCCTCCATCAGACGCTGGTCAGGCCGGCGTCGGCTGTCGGTGGGTGCCACGCCCTCCTCAGGCTCATTTAAGGTCAGAGCCAAGGCAGTGAAGTAGTACATGGTCTCTGCTCCGTCACTGTGGACAAAGATAAAGAACAGCAGGGCACAAAGTCAAAACTTGAGAGGGATTACAACATTTAAAAATATATTTCAAAACATGAAACACTCTGCTCTGTATTTGGTGATGCTAATGTCTTCATTTTCTGCCTCAAAAAAGTTGATTGAGTGGTTACTTGTAGGTGACCCGACCTTTAATCAACATGCAAGTCTGTTATTATTTATTACAGATATAAAAATAATCAGAACACTACAAAAGAAGATTTTTGACTTTCAAATCTTGCTTTCAAGTCATTGTTCGTTGCCTCGCTTATGTCATAAAATACTGTTTTACTGTCTTTTACGATTAAACAGGCAACCTTTTAATCACTAGTTATTTTCAATTTTAGGTAAAGCCCTTTGAGCTAAATCTTGTTAATTAAAGATTTAAGAATAAAGTTTATTGTTATCATTATGAAAAAAAAAAGATACATTTTTTTCTAGGAACACAAATTTAACAAACAAACTAGAGAATAGGTCAAGTGTGACTGTGGAAACACTCATTACTGAAGTATACATGGTAGGCATGGGCAGCCACAGAGGTAATTAAACTGAGCGTGCTGTAAGACTGATTATCATCTTTTATCACTTTTAATTACAGGGTTTCTCTCAGTGTTTTATTATGGAAGCAGGTCACTTCAAGACCACCTCCCTGAAATCATCAATTATGAAAAAAATAAATAAATGAAAAATAAAAAAAGTGACTGAGTTTGTGGTTGTTATTTCTAAACTTGTATGTGTTTAAACACACTCTGCCATGCAGTAATAGCACTTACGGTAAAGGGTTCCTCCTCCAGACCTCTCTGGCTTTGAGTGTTTGATAAACCGTCTTCTGTTTGCCCTCGGTTCCGTTCTCTCCACCTCGACTGCTCTGCATCACTCTGGAGAACTCCATCTTCTCATCCCACGTCCCCGACAACACATAGTGGGCCTTGCCGTCTTTGTCCATCACCACACCTGTCACCTTAAAATGAGAGACAGAGAAGGTTAACAGAGGAGTTCTTGACTGTAATTTGGTTAAAACTAACAGAGGGTGTTATCCCACAAGAGAATAAAAACACAAGGATACAGTTGGAGACATTAAAAGTCGAGGTACTACACATGCAGCACATAAAACAGCGAAAGGTTGATGTGATAAAAGCAAAGAAAAACAGCAACAACCAGAATAGGGACAAAACAAGGCTGCGCAGGGAACCAAGAGGCAGTTTCTGGTGTATTACAATGAAGAGAGTTTATTGCATTTGGCATAAATGAAAACTCGAACCTGTTGCACTGAATTTAGGGAAAAGTGGAATTGAATCAGTCATAGGATTTTCTGCATTATTCTCACCTTCCTGGCCACATCTCTGGAGAAGTAGCTGTAAGGAGCAAACTTCAGATGGCAGCGGTCTCCGGTGGTGTGGTTCACTACGTCTATTTCTCCAGACTGGAAGAAAAACAGAAAGTAAGTTTGAGGGATATCACTGTGGGAATATCATTTTCAATCGAATAAAAGTTTAAACTTCTGATTAGGGTTGAGCAATATGATGATAATATAATGTGGCTCAGTGCTGATAGCATTGGGAAGAGTTTTCGATGGTTTTCATTTATATATATATATGTATATATATATATATAGATAGATAGTTGCAAGAAAAAGTAAGCGGAATCACCTCAATTCAAGTATAAATTTGGCCTAAATTGGCTTCATTGTATTGCTGCATTGCAGAGTATTGTCTTAAGTGATTAAAGCACTAACCATGTAATTGCCACATCCAGGTTCGAGTCCAGCTCACACACTTTGTTACATGTCATTTCCCATTTCTGTCTCCCCTCATTTCCTGTCTCTTCACTATTACTGACTTTCTTGAAAATGAGCTAAAAATCAGTACATTGCTACTAGTCAACTAAGTGTCCTAGTACAGACTCAAAGCCTTGTTTTAACAGTGCGATCTTGCTTTAACTCTTTCAGTCTCACCTGATCAATCCAAAGTTTCCCCACAATGATGTTGTGCACTGTGGTGGTAACTTTCTTCCATGTGTAGTGATTGTTGCCCTTTTCAAAGATTGCGTGAATTGTGCCTGTACAGAAATGCAGACAAGGAAGCAAGTCAACGTCATCTCCAAGACAAAAAAAACATTGTTCAATGCTTTCATTAGGCCAAGGTGTGACTGATACATTCCTCAAGTGCTTTTTACCTCTTTCAAAAACTAACTACAATGTTCATATCACACTCTCAATCTACGTCATCACCAAGATCTAAAGGCATGCTTAATATGTTTTGAACTGAATGGTCTCTCACCTAAAGGCATAATGGAGAGATATTTTCCCCTGAACTTGCTAGCAACAGTGATTTCCTGCCTCAAGGTCCAGCCGCGATCAGAAATCACATGATGTGCTGCTGCAGGGGGATGGTGACTCACCTGTGAGAGGTAGGTAGATAGGTAGATAGGTAGATAGGTAGATAGGTAGATAGGTAGATAGATAGATAGATAGATAGATAGATAGATAGATAGATAGATAGATAGATAGATAGATAGATAGATAGATAGATAGATAGATAGATACTTTACTTATCCCCTAGGGGAAATTCATAGGTCGTGCATTCAATTTCATTGCAGGTTTGATTACGCCCTTATAGTTATGACTCACATTTAATATTATACAAACACACTGACAGACCTGTGAAGTTTGTAAAAACCCTGATTTTAGCAGGGCATGAAAATCCCCACTGTAAATCTCAAATCCAATTATACTCATCTACAATAGCATTTAATATTTTCCCCGCCTTGCACAATCCCATTTAAAGCCTCTATGACCAAATTGAACCCGTCTCTATGCTCATACTCTAAATACAGCTTTCTCCACAGCTGCCTAGTCACTGGATTTGCTGCCTGACGGCATAATTTAACAGATTATTTACAGGAGTGGATATATGTTCTTGGTCTTTAGGAACAAATACCTCTCTGCCATTCTAATTTTACAATCTCAAACCTCCATTTTGTGTCCTCCTCAAATCCTTTCCCCTTTCTACAAACCAGAGGATGTTTTTTCACCTCCTAAGGTAATTCTTCATGTTACAGTGTGCCCCAATTAAAAAATAAATTACATAAAATATTTATATATTTTTTTAGATGCCACAACTGAGACTTTTACATTGTTACCACCTGTTGTCTCTACAAGCATTGATAAAAATTGCAAACGATATAATCGTATATTTATGACCGCCAGTATTAATTTAACCCTGTTTAAACTGTCCTTCTATTCCTGATATGATTAGCTAACTCTCATGAATGCTAGTTCCCTGTAACATGTGCAACCCCGAATTCATCAAAATAAAAAATAAAAAGGAAGCAAAAAGCTCTCAAAATGCTGAGTCAGTGGAATTTTTCAACTCATCCTTCCTGACATCCGTTCTTTGTTCAGTTTCACTTCCCTGGCAGGACTGAAACTTTCTGTTTCTTTTTCTCTCACCTGCTCACAGAGAGAGCGGTAGCCACTCTCTCTCCGGCGGTCCAGTTCATACGTCTCTCCCAGCAGAGGGTTGAAGGGCTTGCCCGTGCGGTACACGGTGGTCGAGTAGGAGGACACGGAGAAGGCTGCCACGTAACACATCTGCTCCAGGGAGCTCTGGCACTTGGAGGCCTTGTCCAGCAGCTCGTGGTACTCGAGGTCCTCCGACAACCGCTGCAGCATCGAAATGGGCTCGTTGAAGTTCACCTGCAGAGAGCAGAATAATTTGGATGTGTACTGATGTTTGCAATCGGTATCATTTAGAGTGACATGAACATTCTGCTTCAGGAAATTATTAAAAATTGATCAAACATGTCAACACTACTATGCATGAAATTTCTAAAATCCTAATCTTCTCTAGTAACGTCAGACTGTACAAATGAATGTTGCATTATTTATCACAATGAAAGCACACATTAATTATAAGGAATTTTAAATCATTAAAATGATTAAACGCTGCTGTTATAATTTAGTACTTATCAGCACTTCCCATGTATAAATGCCTAACAGCCCAGACTACATACAGGTGTTTGAGTGTACTAGATACAAGCAAAGGTGTGATACTGAGCACAGCCAACATTCAAAGATATTTTTTGTGCCCAAGAAACATACTGAGCAGGATATTTTACAATGTAAAATTAATTTGTCAATGCTCTGTGCTGGATAAATTAAGTAATGGTAATAGTTTCAAAATGACCCCAACCCCAGTTTGGCATCTCTGTATTGAAAATTCTTATTGCTTATCAGCAATAAAAACTATGGTAACGCTGTTGAATGTTCATGTGTGATATATAAGATTAGTCTGAAAATAGACAAATCACTGCCAAATAAACAAACCTAAAAAAAGATCACACACGTACACTCTACAGAATGTCTATGAGGTTGATGACTGAGTCTTGACGACTGCTTCCTCTGTAGGTCTGACAGTAGAGTATTTTTAACCACAGGATGGCACACAAAGAATGTTGCTGGCCCGGTATTGCTGACATTCCCACATCAAAAAGGTACAGATACATTGGTGCCAGAAGTCTACTGGTGTGATTGTATCACATTGTCTTAGTTGAGTGAACACTTATGTTTCACCCACATGAACAAATACAGCAGAAGAGGAGGTGAAACTCCCTGAGGCCTTTAATGGCCAGCCCAGCAAAGAAACTTCCTGTGAGTCACGCTGGATATTAAGTAACCTGCAGAGATACTCACAGGCATTGGGATCTTGGACAGCTCTTTGCCAATGCAGTTCTTCATGATACTCCACAGATTGAGGGAATAGTTGGGTTTATCTGGAATGCGTGTCCGCCTCTTTTTCAAGGGCACCAACTCCTGAGAGGGGGATTCCTGGTTCATCGCAAGGGGCTCCTCATTAAGCTAAAAAGCAAAAAAGTTCTGTCAATAATCAGTATAAAGGCTACTGGAAATGATAAAGTTTTAAACATAGATTCACTGTTTTTCAACTGAGTCATTGTTATCATGTTTGTAATCTGATTTATTATTGTAGCAAAATATTTAATTATCATAAATGATGGTAAACAACATTTTATTTGATTTTTAGCTGAAAATCAGTGAAGTGCTCCTTTAAGACATACCGACTGATCGTCAGGACACATTTCACTGTTGAAACCGCTGATATTACTGCTTGACCTTCTGTAAGAGGTTAAAAAAGCAAAGAGATTCTGTCAGTGCCTGGGAAGATCTTGGTTAAAGGAAACAGACAGTGTAAAATACAACAAAAGGAAGCACAAAACTGGCTTAAATACTTGCCAACTCAAATGATTGTTTACATGAGTGTGAAGAATTCGAACCATATGACTTTATCACAACTTGTGGCTGCATGTCATACAAGGAACTGGCTAAAAAAAACACACTAACAAAGACTTTTGAAGGTTTCTTCCTGTATAACTACGTGTGGGAAACAAGAAGATACTGACTTGTGAAATTGTGGGTCTGCAGGAACAGTGATAAACTCAGGAGCCTCCTCCATGGCATCAAAGAACTCATTGTCATCATCCTCATCGCTGGCCTCACCTTTCCCCGGCCCTGCAGCACCTTCATAGACAACAATCAGTTCTTTCAACTGTCAGGATTATCAGAATAGTTGCGAGTCAATTTCCTGTCGATTAACTAATGCCGTGGTTCCCAGACTGTGAGGTCTGTGAAATCAGGCTCTCAAGATCATATTTCTGTTATATTAAGTTACGTTTATTGTCAGACTTTTCTCAAATTACTTTTATATGACTCTTAAAACATCAACCAGCTGATAAAAAAAGAACACTACCTTGATACATTACTTTTTCACTCTGTGTGAGCTCTAATAAAGTGCTACTGCTCATTTCTGTTGGCAACAACACTTTACAGAACTAATCCACCAGTGAATGCTTTAATATAGATGTGTTCATAACAAATTAAAAAAGATCTGTGAAATGAAGACTAAGAGGGACGTGGGCAGAAATATGAATTGCGTTCAGGTGAATCTCACATCTTACTTTTATTGTCTGCTGTAGCATTAGCCTGCGCAGCCCCTCTGAACGCTCGTTCCAGGTGATTGTGCTGCTTGGCCAGTTGTTCTAAAGTCTCCTCCAGCCTCACTCTCTGGTCCCGTTCCGCCTGCAGGGCCTTCTGCCATCGCTTACTGTGAGCCTGAGCCAGAGTGAGGAAGTCTCGGCACGCCTGATGGGCAAAAGGTCAAACAGGGTCAATTAGAAACCACTGAAACCCAAAATTTAATTATTGTGAGCAGTTAATTTGGTCTGCACGGAGCACAGACTGCACCAGTTTGGATCCTTTGAGCTCAAACAAGATCAGTCCAGAGGAAATAACCAGATTCATTTAAACTAGTCAGCGGGCCCACTTTCATTGATATGTCAGTATAGACATACTAAGTGAGGAGGTGACACTTACATTAATCATGGCATTAGACGTGATGCGGAACAACGTGGCCCTTTCTGTGACCTGACGAATCTTATCCCCAGCCTCTCCAGTCAGACGCAAACTGTCCAGTTCTGATAAAGACCTGAAAAAATATTTAAATGTACAACATGAATTAATAGTTCAGACAATATATCATCAATTTACAGTGTAAAAGGCCACAAGCCTCTGATTCAACTGGGTTATGATTACACTTGCAAACTTGTTTTGCAAAAGTGCAACACCACACCTTGATTTAGCACATGATATCATAGCAACAGGGTCTTTGTATGACTCTCTGTAAATAAAGACTTGAAAAATGTTTTGAAACCAAGTCACCATGTCTGCATTTGTTGGAATGCAAGATTAATCCTTCTGGGTTTTACTTTCATTTCTAAATTGAGAAAGAAGAATTGCTAGAATTGTTGCACTTTGGCCTGAGTACTTCAGCGAAAAAAGCAATGTAGTGTTAAAGCCTGACCTCTGGAGGGCAGAGCCATGCTTTGAGATCAGGTCGTTGCACGTGCTGAGATCCTCCACCTTGCTGCCTAGTGTTCTGAGAGCAGACTGGACCTCTGAATTCTGCGACCCGCCTCCTTGTCCGGGTGCCACTGGTGCAGATGATGGTGAGAAGTCATCCCCAGAGTCATCTGTTGACAACAAAAACAACAGTAGTGGAAAAAGAAATGAGCTTAAAAGACTTAAAATGCTCTGCTTTTTAAAAGATTCACAGAGCAAGAACTCTAAATACTACTTTCCTCTGCCTCCGCTTCACATCCTCCCATGCGGCTGTGTGTTTTACCTGACTCAGCCTGCATGCGTGCCGCCTTTGCTTTGGCCAGCTCAAGGGCAGTGATCCAGCGCTGACGTTCCACCTCACAGCTGGCCTTCAGGTGATACGTCTGTGCCCCACCATTAGAGATGACAAAGTTGCAGGCATCATCCACAGTGATAGTTGCTGTGGCCAAGTTGATTGTGCCCCGACATGTGTGGCCCATCTCTGCCTGGGTCCTGATAATCAGAGGAATTTGATTTGAGTTTTTGATGAAAATGTAACTATACAGAAATAATGTAAATATATAGAAAAAAAACATACAACATTATTATTGTTTCAATGTTACAGTCTTATGAAATAAACAAGCACACAAAATGCAACTCTGGTGGATCGATTCATCAATGATCTTTAAAGTAAATTAAATTATAATTATGGTACAATTCACTTACACTACAAATAATAGATAATGTTAATAATAATACTTCCTTTTGTGGACTTATTTTTTCTTTATCGCAAGTCTGTAATAAACACGGAATGAAATTGCTGAGTTGTAATCATTTCAATGCTACACTATGCAGTGTAATAAGACAAGCGTATAAAAATGCGACTCCGGTGGGACTCGAACCCACAACCTTTGAATCACCTCAAACTGTGCCTAGAAGTCCAATGCGCTATCCATTGCGCCACGGAGCCAGCTATTCTTTCAAATGTTCTACAGCGTGGCGACAGAGATTACAACATTCCCTAAGATTTAATAAGACAAGAAAATTTACTTTAATTGATAAGACACATGATGAGGTGAGGCTCATTTCATTATTTATTCACTTAACATTTGATAAACAGCTTGTTGGGTGTAATTAAACTCTAGTTACTTAAGATCAATGCTGAGGGATTTCCTTGATGACATTATCAAGGCTATATCCTTCCTTTTTGTTCTCTGTAATCTGCAGAAAAGTGTACCTGTAATATGACAACAGCCCATTGCTCAGGACAAACCACCTCCGCTGATAACCCTTGATGTAATTTGTCCACTTGAACACCCATCCTTTGTATGTGTCGCCAGCTGGGGTTGGAGTGGGGGTCTTGGGCTCTGACATCACAGCCCCCAAAATCAAGATACAGATTTGAGGAACCTTAAAGGGAAAAATAAAGTTAGAAATGTTTGGAATTGAATTCACATTAGTAGACTCATGCTTTCAAACAGTGCTGAATCGCTCAATCAATTAATCGATTAGTTTGTTAACACAAAATTAATGGGAAACTATTTTGATAAACAATTCATTATTTAGGTCATTTTTAAGCAGAAATGCCACAAATTCCAACTACCCAGGTGTAAAAATTTAGTGGTTTTCTTAGTCTTCAATGATATCATACTTAATACCTTTGGATTTTAGACTGTTGGTTGGACATGGGCTGAAATTGCAACAGGTTTTGCAATAGGTATTTTGTCCTATTTTATGACCCAAACAATTAAGCAAGAAAAGAATCAGCAGATGAACTGATAGTGAAAATATTCGTAAGTCACATTCCTATTTTCATTCAGAACCATCTCAATAATTTGTACAACAGTAATATGAATCATTGTAGCTGGCTGATATTGATCTTTCAGTGTGGTATGACAGGTCAAAGGTTAGCTACAGAATCGATACAGATTCACAACTGACACATTTTACTGGCAAACCTAGTGTGTTAACCTGAAGTGGATGATCGGAAAGGGGGACCGACTTGTTATTAATACATCTTTGTGTAATTCTATCTTCTTAATTACATATACATTAAATGTTAATAATTGACACATTGTCGTGATTTTGGGAACTGTCGTTCTAATAATCTTTTTGGAAAAATGTGACGTTTGTCTGATCGATACAACAAAGAAAACCAAAGATAACAACATAAAATTCATAAAGCTCATAACGAGTTTGACACCAGAAGCTAGCAAACGTTAGCTGCAATAAGGCTAAGTGGGAGTCACGGTGATAATAGCTCATTACCGCTAGAACATGAGCTACACAGAAGAAACACCAGCTGACATGTTTGCTCGAAGTTTACCAGCTGACGTGTGCATATTTACAATACGGTGTGAGCAAGATACACCGCTAAACAACCGCTAGCCCACTAGCTAGCTTTCAAACTTGCCCGTGGCTAAATGTTTACCTTGACGTGTCCGAAATGTGAGATCAGGCAACCAGACACCCGGTGAAGTCACGGCTAACTTTGACACCCATACGCTACTGTGCCTAGCTGAAGGGGCTAACTAGCTAACTGACCAAGACGGGACAGCTAATGATGAAAACAACTAAACGGGAGACGTCGACAACAACAGTAGTGCGACTGTAAAATAAAGTGACACCAAGGAGTTTCATTAGTATCCCTCAATAATCGTGTGTATAATGTTCATTCTACAGCTGCGTACGCCGACAAGAATCTAAAGCTAGCTAGCTACATCTAACTAGCCTAACGTTAGCTCGTTGGTTACACCCGGTGCAACACTATTTGGTCCCGACGAGAAACACATAGATTGCCGACACTGTTGCTTGGTCGGACGAAACCGGCTTTTTGCCTTCAAAGTAATTGTACATTGCCAAATAAAAAGAAATATATATATTCTGTACCAGATATATATACCGTTTACGTGTCCTTTCAATAAGAAATTATCAGTAAATTACCTAATATTACTGTCACGCTGGTATATTATTTTTGTCTCAAGAAAGAGTTTTATTGTAAAGGACATAATCGGATACCCACTTTGATTTTATGTTGATAAATTTGCTAACTTGAGGCATTCAGTTCCTGCTTCACTGCTAGCCAGCTAGTTTAGTCAATGCTGGGTTCGTAGTGCTGGGTCGACTCATCAATCGTGTTCATAGTAAATAAAATTATAATTATGGTATAATTCACTTACACTACAAACAATAGATAACGTTAATAATAATGCTTTCTCATGTGGACTTATTTTTTCTTTATCGCGAATCTGTAATAAACATGAATTGATTGCTGAGTTGCAATCGTTTCAATGCTACACTATGCAGTGTAATAAGACAAGCGTATAAAAATGCGACTCCGGTGGGACTCGAACCCACAACCTTTGAATCACTTCATCAGTGCCTAGAAGTCCAATGCGCTATCCATTGCGCCACGGAGCCACCTGTTGCACTCTTTGCGTCCGTTGGTATTTAAAGGACTACAAACAATAGTAGAGTATGAATATTGTAATATGACAAGTTACTTCCTCAGAATACCGCCCTTTACTTCAGAATATAAATGTCTGAATGAGTCTGCCATGCCCCATATTAAACACCGAGTGGCGCTGAAGGGCCATAATAAATTATACACATTCAGCAGCATTAGACTACTAGAATTATCAGACATCTAGTTCTCGTTGCAATAGATAAAACATACTGAAGAAGTGCCGACCATGAAAATTAAAAAAAATAATAAAATAGGCCATTTACGGAGAGATCTGTAAAAACCTTGGGATTTCAGTTAGTTACTCATGGCTGCGACCATGTTCCCTTCTTCATTTTTAAAGATTATTAATAATATTTTCTTTCATGACCAAATTGAATTGGGAAATGAGTAGGAATCACCTTTCTGCCAGCATCTGCATGGTGGAGCCTGAGGTGTGAAATAGGGGCAAACAAGCCGATGTTAACTCCTTCTCAGGTCAAACAAGCCGTGGTGTAGTACATGACTTGAGCGCCTGGGGTCAAATGTAGATTTTATAACTGCGACGTCGTCTGACAAAATCACCAAACACAAATGCAGCACAGGGACCCAGGCCGGACTCGAATACGAGCCACCGGGGAAAAGACTATGTTCATTAGGTAGGATAAATACCCCTAAGCCATTAGGGGGCAGGATTGCAACAGGAGGATCCAACTCTAAATTGGTGTAAAAGTACGTAAAAGTATGTTAGTATAATCGGGATTAATGCAGAAAAAATTATAGTTATATATTATATTGCAAAAGCATCATCTTATAGTGATGTATCAACGTAAAAACAAAATTTTACTGTTGTAGTTGTTTGAGGTGGAGCTAGTTTTTAAATATTTTTTATAGAACTGCAATTAATGATTCTCTCATCAGCAGATTACTGTTTCATCTCGAATTATCGATTGATTGTTTGGTTTGTAAAAGTTCTGAAAGCAGTGACAAATTTAAAATTATTAAAACCTAAAGAAATAAACTATAATTAATGCAAATGAAAGGAAAAGCAGCAAATCGTCCCATCTAAGTAGCTGGTACCATGTTTGGCATGTTTGCATTCAAAATAACGTAAAAGACTAGCAAAATCTCTGTTTTGTATGCAAAAATCTTCATCTGTAAAACTGTTCAATAATTTTAGTCGTCGCGTTTTCAAAAATTGGCATACAAATTGAAATTGTTTCACGCATGCGCACTATGGCGAAGCCGGACGGGCAAATTCATAACTGTTGCCTTTATTAGTTGCTTTGTACATTAAACTAATGTTTCAATCTCGGACAATTTTTGCAGGCGCGTCCACATCCGGTCTGGCAGACAGGAATCTGGATGTAAAAGGACGATAATGCTCTTGACTCCTGCATGTCTCTGATATATCCTGCCAGGAGCGGAAGTGTCTGGGATTCTGCTCAATCCATTTTACCAAAACAGTCGTTTGTAAAAGGAGACAGGGCGAGCACCGTCTGTATCTCTTCCCACACCATCATCGTCTACAGTCGGGCTCCATTGAATGTTGATATATCGGCACGGGACATGCTCTATGAGGTTAGGCTTTTACTACGGCGCACAGGCGTAATTACTGACAAACCAACCGGAGAATAGCTAACAATGCGACGATAATAATTCGGATGGCTCTTTATTTCTGATGGATTTGTTATAGATCTGCGCAATCGACGTGAACGCCTGCCTGGACACAGGAGAGGATTAAGTTACTGCTGCTGGCGGCGGATTATTTTATTGGCCTCCTCCTGTCACGCCCGAGTCTTTGGTGATCTTTTTTCCAATTAAGAGAGGTCGCTCAAAAGCCAGGTATGCTGTCGAAAATTATAACCCTGCCGTTTTATTGCAATGTGTTATTGTGGGATTAGCTACGCATTAACAAACGTCCTTTGTTGCTCCCGCCTAACTGGTAGTTACTCAAAAGCACATTTCATTGTATTGCGTGCAGACAACAATAAAATCCCTTAATTAAATGCTGCAAGAATGCTGTGTGGCTTTGTTGCAACAATAAAGCAGGGTGTTTAAAGCGTAATCATACAATAGGAGGATGATATTTAGAAACACATCTTAACACCTATGAAAGTGTTTCTGCTTTGACAACTGTGAAGCATTAGGTAGATGGCATATAGAGTTACTGGCTCCCCTGCCTCAGCAGCTCTGGCCGCCCAACCCCCTTCCCCTCAGTGCCACAGCATGTTTTGGTTTCAGGCGGATCATGCCCTTTTGTCCACTGAAGCCTGACTGTACTTTTCGGGACAGACTCCCAGTATGAAAGAATTTGCCTGCTGTTTTGACAGCCCTCTTTTCTCTCTCGCTGGCAGTCTAAAGATGTCGGGGACTCACTGAATCAACTGCAGAAATAGAGACTATGGTTTTAATCGGCCACTGGTGCAGACAGACATAACATAGTTCATCTATTTAACTTTTTGTGGATCTTAAACGACTATAGCCACCATTTTAACAAAGCATGTGTAGTTATTTTGTGCTAAGCATCTGGCCCATCCCACACAGACACAAAAGTAGGGCCTATATCAAGTAAAACTGGACATCTTCCAGATACACATATTCAAAACTACAAGAAAAACATCAGTTATATTGTTTTAAGTACTTATATATTCTTTCAAATTACATAATATGTAAATAAGATATCAATTTCTGTTTTTATCTTACTTAACGAAATATTGTGTGCATTACTAGTAAAAGGGAAAATAGAAAACAATACGAAACAAATTTCTTACTATTTTTTACTTCTAAGTGCTTGGAACTATGAAAGAAATGTATTATGAAGTCATCTGCAGCTCATATGTTCTGTTTTGTCTCAGGTACTTCAGTTAAAGACTGCAGATAACTATGATTTTCATTATCAATTAATCAATGAATTGTTTGAACGAAGAATCATAAGAGAACAGTGTAAAATGCCTGTCATAATTAAAAGTTGCTAGTATTGGCTTGATAATTGATTTAAATGATTAATTGTTTGTCAAAGTTGTTGCTAATTCGTTTTCTCATTGACTGATGGTTTCTGCTTCACAAAGAATCACTTTTCAGATTAATTAACTTTCTAATTAATTCACTTATGACATCTTTTTTTTTTCTCCCCTACAGATATGTCTTTCCGGCGAGGTGTGGTCAGGCAGAGCAAATTCCGCCATGTTTTTGCTCAGGCGTGGAAAGCCGAGCACTGCATCGACGATGTCAGAGTGTCCCGCGTGACGTGGGACAGTCCTCTGTGTGCCGTCAGCCCCAAATTCATCGCTGTCATCATTGAAGCTGGGGGTGGAGGCGCCTTCCTCGTTGTTCCGATCAGCAAGGTTAGACCATCCCTGCATTACATTCGGCATCAGATAAACAGTAGATCAATATTTTTAAAAGCCCCTGTCTTGTTTCCTGTCTCTTATTCTGCTACTAAAAGCATTTTATCCCTCCACGTTTAGCTAATGCATATGCAGCACGTTTAATGGACAAAGGTTATACTCCTGTAATGTTAATATTTCTCCAGCAAGAAGTCACAGTTTTATCTTTTGGTTTCTCCCACAGAGCGGCAGAATCGATCAGTCCTGTCCGACAGTGTGTGGCCATGCGGCGCCAGTACTGGACATCCAGTGGTCTCCTCATGATGACAGTATCATTGCAAGTGCCTCAGAGGACTGCACAGTAAAGGTAGCTTCACAGCCTTGAGGTACCACAGGTTACCCTGACCACAGTTGTGTAAAATCTGACAGCCATGGTAGTTAAAGAGCTGTTAAAAATCTGAGAAGATTAGAGCTACAAAACCAAAACAAAACCAAAGTGTAAAAATGACTATTTGTGGTTAACAAGGGGTTATGTGAAGGACTAGCCAGGCTGGTTATTTCCCCCTGATTCCAGTCCTCATGCTATGTTAAGATAACCATATCTTGGCTTTAGCTTCATACTTACCCTGCATTCATTTGATGTTGGAATAATCAGAAAAATTAGTTTCTGGAACAGCAACTCGTAAAGTTGGAGAAAATTTTGATACACATCTTTTTTTTTTTTTTTTTGGTGGACAGAACTTGGGTGTTAATTGATGGTGAGAAACTTTTGATTAATGCATTTCTTTTTTTCTTTTTTTTTTGCTAACATTTAATTTGTAATAAGGTATTAGGCTGTAACTGTTAGTTGCTGTCCATATAAAGTGACCTAGATTAAAGTTATTTGTTAGCAGTAACCCTGATAACAAGTAACATAAATACTAGAAACAGCTGTCAGCGAGTTGTTTTAATGCTCTGAGAAATAAAATTAG